ACACTCTCGTTAAAAACATAAAAGACTCTATAGACGCCTTTGGCAGCCAATGAGTTAGGTGTGTTTCCGAGGCCCATGAAGGCTCAAACTGAAGCCTGATACTCACTGATTCTGAGTTTCTCAGGAGTTCCTCGAACATCTATTCGGCTTTGGCTTCAAACCTAAAGATCTTTCCACTTCTCCCCAAACATCAGAAAACCAAGAGGTGTCTCCAGTCCTGGACAGACATTTCTCTGTCTAATGAGAGCTGTGATAGTTTGGTATGAACTGTCTGAAACAGTCAGATTTATCCCAGCCTTGCAGCAGATAAAACACTTTCATATTCTGCTTATTGGAAACAAACGCCCCTTAATGCTGACGGCCTGTGAGTGGATATCTACTGTATTAATGTAGAAACAGACTCCATCTCTAATTTTCTGCTTCCTAAAGAGGCATCTGCTTTTTTTCCCGTATTCTCACACTGATTGACAGGAAACTCTGCATCATCTTTTCAAAAGATGACGAGATGGTTTCTCCTCCAGTATCTTTTGTTCTTCTTCTGCTAATCTGTCCAGTTCTTGCATCACATGAAGCTGCTGAGGAGAACTGCCCTGTGGCACCAAGGGAAGGTTTTTAAAGGCTGACAAATAAACTGGAACTACAAAAGTTATTTTTCTCCTCCACAGCGTGAGGCGTTTGTCAGGAAACAAAGCTCTGAGTCACGGGTTTGTGCAGAAGTTTGTGAGATCAAACTGAGGAGACGGGAGTTGGATCTCTGCTTTACCGGGATATTATATATATATATATATTAGATATATATAGGATATTAGATATATATATATTAGATATATATAGGATATTAGAAAAGCCCTTCAGGAAACCGGCGGTTCCCGGTGACCAATAAGGAAAGAGACGCAAGGCGTTTTTCATTTTCTATTTACAAAATTGAAAAGAAGGAAACAAAAACCAGTTGTTATCTGATACCTGGTATGGGAGAATAACGAGAATTACTTATTTATTAGGAGTTTTTGTTTGTTATTCTTTTCATGAGCTGTCGGTAAAACAGCAGAGAAGAAGAGCATCGCTTCTCCTTTCACAGGAAACTCTGCATATCTGGCCTTTTGACGTCTTTCTGCTGTTTTCTTCCTCCAACAAGTAAAAAACATCCCCATTGACTCCTCCATTTGATTCTGCACAGATCTGCAGCATATCCTCACCGATGTGCTGCGTAATGCTGTAATTACTGTATGTAAAATTAATGCTGTAATCACAGTATTACAGAGTAAACAGTCATACAATGGGATGTCTAGCTTCTCTTTGAGTCCAGTGAAAGTCCTTTTCTGAGCTTATCTAACCTCATCATGACCTGTTCAGGGACAGGTGAACGGGACTTTTCAGTGAGATGAAAGGCTGGAGCTGACTGATGTTAGAGACGTGACGTGCACACACCTGAAAGATTCAGCCCTCAGAGTCAGACCAGACTCAACAGGTGAACCAACAGAAACACAGGAAATAAAAGGTCTGCTGGAAACGTTCAAGTTTAACCGAAAAAAACCTGAAAAAGACTTTAAATGTCTTTAAAATATTTGTTTCTGTGTTTTCTCCTTTTCATTGGCTGTTTTTCTTCCCTGTCCATATGAACCCTTTGTTCTCTTCTGGGGAGATCTTAGTACAAAACCTTTCTTCATGTGTTAGTGAAGCTAACTAGCTAACTTCGTCTCTTAAGTGATAGCTAGCCCGGAATTTCATCGCTATCATGTAAAGTTTGAGAGCCTTTTTCCTCCAGATAGCACACAGTAAACCTTTCCACCTGAAACCAGCAGAATCCCAAAGATCATTGCTGCAGTTGCATCAGAGAGGTTTCCCCTCATCCCTCTAAACGACTCCTAACTGGAGCTGTTCTGCTGGTGTTGTGCAGGAGGAAGGATCTCCGGTAACTGATGTAGATTCTGGGTTTGTGTTCATCTCCTCACAGCCACTTCTGCTTTTCCTTTGGTTTAGTTTTTTAAAAGGTTTCCCTTTGCCGTGTGTTACGGCTGTAGCTGTCTTTTGAGACAACTTTTAAGACCTAACCCTAACCCTAAAGCCTCTACTTCCTTCTTCTCATAATTTAATGTGTGACCATGAAATCCAGAATAAATCAAACCGGCTCCGTTTGCAGGTTAGATAAAGAGCACAGTCCTTCCAGATCAATGAATGCCTTAAATCTTCTTTATTTGGAGAGATGGGAACATGCTTTTGTTCCTATTGGTAAGTTTTTAGCCCTTAGTTTATGGTGTTATTACAAAGTCTTTGTGCATA